TCATCCCTGAAACCCCTCCCCAGGCCGGGCTGGCCATGGGGGTGGGACACCCTCCTCCCCACGCTCCCTCCCCCTCCCGGAGCCCTGCCCCTCACACATCTCCCCTCCCCTTCCCYGCAGATCGGTCCCAGGGTCTGAGCCACGCTGGTGTCCTCACCATGTCCCTCCCAGGATGGAGCACCCGCGGAACGCTTGGATTTGGGGGGGAACCCACCCCCCACATCCCGCCCGGCCCCCCAAGACTGAGAACCACTCCTCGAAATCAGAGAACTCCTYCCCCTCAAAAGCCACCAGGGCTCCTGGGGGGCTCTGGGGGACCCCCGCCCAAGGGAAGCAGGGGGGCAGGCACCCCCCTCGGCGGGGTCAGGCGCTGTGAAATGAGTCTGCACCCCCAAAATGTAAAGTTATTGATGTGGAAAATAAAAGTGACAGMAGTGGGGTGTGCAGAGTTTGGGGGGCACGCCGTGGGGGAGGGAGAGGGGGAATAGGGACAGGGAGGGGGACACAGCATTTCATCCCCCTGCGGCACCCAAGGCACATTCCTGGTGCCTGTCTTCGGGAGCTGATGGCAGCCAGAGGCCCCAGGGGACAGGGCTGTCCCCAGGCCACCCCGCTCAGCACCCTGGGTGGGTGGCAGGGCACCAAATCTCTCTCCCCGCAGCCTTTGTCAGGGCTGCCTCATTAACGCTCATTAGCAATGTGCTAATGAGGAGTGGGGCTCCTTTCCCAGGGTAACAAGGGAGGGCCCTGGGGACAGCACAGGGCTGAGCCCGTGCCCCCCCAAATCGGCCACGGGGGTGGCTTGGGACCCCCCCTCACCCCACACCCACCCCAACCACGCACGGGGGCCACCTCAGTGCCCCCCACCCCAACAGCACCACGCTCTGGGGGGCTCCGGGTGCCTCATCTAAAGCATTTTATTCTCTCGGGGGGCTTCACACCAGCGGTGCCGTCTGCCCCCAGGGAYGGAGGGGTCTGGGGGGGCTGAGTCAGGACCCCCCCCCTGCCCACCCTCCTCACCCCCGGCTGAGCTCCTACAACTTCTTGTTGCCCCACTTGGCCATCTTGTTGTTGATGGGCATCTTCTGGAAGCGGCTGGACTTCATGTAGGCAGCCACCTTCTCCAGAGCCTGGGGACACACATGGAGGGTGAGGGACACCCCCACAGCACCAGCCCCCACCCAGGGGTGACCTGGGGGTGCCCCTGCTCACCCCAAAGCGCTCCATGAAGTCCTTGAGGTTCTTGAAGGGCTCCAGGCACTTGGGCTCAAAGATGCGGTTCTGATCCAGCACGTCGAACATCAGGAAGTCCACGAAGGTCAGCTGGGGACATCGGGGGACACAGTGAGGACAAACCCCCTCCCAGCCCCCTCGCCCCCCCTTGGGGGTCCCGKCAGTACCTTCTCCCCCGCAAACCACTTTCTGTCTCCCAAGAAGTTGGAGAAGAGCTTCAGCTTCCCCGGGAGCTGCTCCAGGTAGCCCGGCTTGAGCTTCTCCTGAGGGAGGAAGGGGCGAGTTGGGCACCCCTGATCAGCCACCCTGGGGACAGCCTTCCCCAAACGGGGTCCCCAATGCTGGCCTGGGGTCCCCCAGCCCACAGGACACTCACAAAGTCAGGGTTGTAGCAGACCATGACCAGGCTCATGCGGAAATCCATGATCTGGTTCTCCAGCATGTCCACACGCAGCATCTCCTCCTCGGTCTCACCGCCTGCGGGGCCGTGGCAGCGCTGGGACCAAACCCTCCCTGACCCCGCTTGGAGCTCCACGGAACCTCAGCTCCAGCCCCAGGCTGAGCCCAACGCCAGCCTGTACCCCAATCCCAATCCCAATCCCAATCCATCCCTACTGCAGCCCGTACCCCAATGCAACTCCATCCCTACTGCAGCCTGTACCCCAATCCATCCCTACTGCAGCCTGTACCCCAATCCCAATCCATCCCTACTGCAGCCTGTACCCCAATCCCAATCCCAATCCCAATCCCAATCCATCCCTACTGCAGCCTGTACCCCAATCCCAATCCCAATCCATCCCTACTGCAGCCTGTACCCCAATCCCAATCCCAATCCCAATACCAATACCAATCCCAATCCATCCCTACTGCAGCCTGAACCCCAATCCATCCCTACTGCAGCCTGTACCCTAATCCCAATGCAGCTCCATCCCTAGTCCAACCCCAATCCCAATCCCAATCCCAATCCCAATCCCAATCCATCCCTATTGCAGCCCGTACCCCAATGCAACTCTATCCCTACTGCAGCCTGTACCCCAATCCATCCCTACTGCAGCTCCATCCCTACTAGAGCCTGTACCCCAACCCCAACCCCAATCCATCCCTACTGCAGCCTGTACCCCAATCCCAATCCAGCTCCATCCCTACTCCAACCCCAATCCCAATCCCCATCCAGCTCCATCCCTACTTCAACTTGTACCCCAATCCAATTCCACCCCAACCTCAACCCCAATCCAATTCCATCCCTACTCCAACCTGTACCCCAATCCCAATCCAGCTCCACCCCTATTCTAAACCCAACTAGACCCCAATTCAATTCCAACCCAAGTCAACTCCAACCCCAACCCAAATCCAACTCTACCCCTACTCCAACCCCAACCCAAGCCCAACTGGACACCAATTCAGCTCTACCCCTCCTCCAATCCCAAATCCAACCCAAGCCAAATCGGATCCCAATTCAACTCCAACCCCAGCTCCAACCCCAAGCCAAACAGGACCCAAATTCAACTCCAACCCTACCCCAACCCCAATCTAACTCTACCCCCACTCCAAACCACCACCAATTCAAGCCCAACTGGACCCCAATTCAATTC